GGTGGATCCCTTAAGCCCAGGAGTTCGAGTCCAGCCTGGCAAGATGGTGAAACCTCATCTCTACAAACAATACAGTAATAATAATACTAATAATTTTTAAAATAAAAATTAAAAAACCTTAGCTAGGTGTGATGGCACATACCTGTAGTTCCATCTACTTGGGAGGCTGAGGTGGCAGGACCACTTGAGTCTAGGAGTTCGAGGCCACAGTGAGCCATGATTGAGTCACTACACTCCAGCCTGGGTGACAGAGAAAGAACCTGTCTCAAAACAAATAAATGAAAATAAAAATAATTAAAGAACCACGTGGCCAAGATGTGGAAACCACGCAGGCCAGTTGCTGGTGACCTTTTCCATCACAGTATCTGTGGCGAGCAGCCCCTGATCCTTATGCTATTTGCACCCAAAGGTAACGTGTCCCCTTGGGGCTGGTTCTGAGTCCACTCCTTTGCTTTCGACCCAAGACAGCACGAGCCTGACCGCAGGTGCATCAGGGAGACTTTCCTATATGACTGGATTCACACCATCTTTACTTTCCAAAAGTTAGGAAACCAATCACTCCTTCCTTTGCACAAAACTTAAACACACCTAAAACGAGCATATTGAAACATCGAAGTCCAGTGATGACTTCAGCACACACCTGCTGAGCCCCTCCTAAGCGCCAGGTCCCAGGTAAGGTGCTGAGAAGCCAACAGTGAAGACAGACCCAGTCTCTGTCCTTGGCTGACATTCTTGGGAGAGGAAAGACATTAAATAAGCAAAGACACATGATTATATCGGTGCCAAGTACAATTAAGATAATAAAGATAAAACAAAAATGATCCAGTGAGTACTAGATGTCTATTAGATGAGGGATCCTGAGATGGTGACATTTCAACTAGAAACTTAGTAACAAGAAAAGAGCCAAGGGGCCTGAGGCAAAGTTCCAGTAAGGACCAGCAAATGCAAAGACCCTGGGGTAGGAATGCACGGGGGTGGCTGGAGGTGCAGGAGCAAGGTGGAAAGGGGAGCAGATGAGATGAGCTGGGCTGGAAGGAAGGGTAAGGTCCTGAGGGTAAGGGGAGCCACTGGAGGGCTTTATGTAGGGGAAACTGATTTGGGCTTTTAGAAGATCCCTGCAGCTGTGATATGAAGAAGGGATTGGGGGAGGAGTGGAAGCAGAGAGTCCAGTAGGGAAGCTGTCATCTGGGCTCAGATGGGGACGGGGACACTGCAGAGATACGATCCCATCCAGTCGTCCAGTCATCAGGGGAAACTGAAAGTCCGAGAGGGGACACTGCCTGCCGCAGGCTGCCTGACCAGTCAGTGATGAGGTGCAAATTCGGAGTTCCTGTCTCAGGCCAGGCTCTCTCATTTCACCACCATTAACTGCTCTGTGGGGGAGCCAGGGCAGAGAGAGCTCCAGCTAAGACTTCCACGCTTCCAGTATTAGAGGACTTACCACTTAAAGAATCCCTGTAGTGTATCCTTTTGTGATGAGAATAATCACCCCTAATTTATCTGCTTCATAAGTTCAGTATCACTTTTCTTTTGAGCGCTGTGAATGTATCTGTATTCCTGCCCAGACATAAAATACTATTTTAAAAACATAATTTGGGGTTGCTTATGAGAGCTGTCATGTCAGTGAGCACCTTTGGGGGCACAGGCTGTGCGATTCGTCTCTGTGCCCCACTGGTACATGAGATGCACACAATAAATAATAATTTAGGAAAATAACAGGTAGCAATGATTCCGCCCTTACTATGTGCCAAGCACTTTCATTCATTTCTTCATCTAGTTTGCATAAGACAGAATGAAGTGGGCTCTGCTACTGTCTCCATTTTACAGATCGGGAAACTGAGGCTCGGACAGATGAAGCCACTTACCCAGTGTCACACAGCCTGCAAAAGCCAGGCCAGGCTTGAACCAGGTAACAACTAAAACCATGTCTGAAACTCAAGGTCTATTGCTTGAGGATGGGAGGGAGGAAGAAGGGAAAAAAGGAAGGAGGGAGGAAGGGGAGGAAGGAAGAGGAGGAAGGAAGAGGAGGAAGGAAGGAAGGGAGGAAGGGAAGGAAAGAAGGAATGAAGAGGAAGGAAGGAAGGAGGGAGGGAGGGAGGAAGGGAGGGGAGAAGGCAGGAAGGAGAGAGAGGAGAGAGGGAGGGAGGGAAGGAAGGAAGGAGAGAGGGAGGGAGGGAAGGAAGGAAGGAAGGAAGGAAGGAAGGGAGGGAGGAAGGGAAGGAAAGAAGGAATGAAGAGGAAGGAAGGAAGGAGGGAGGGAGGAAGGGAGGGAAGAAGGCAGGAAGGAGAGAGAGGAGAGAGGGAGGGAGGGAAGGAAGGAAGGAGAGAGGGAGGGAGGGAAGGAAGGAAGGAAGGGAGGGAGGGAGGAAGGGAGGGAGGGAGGGGGAAGGAAAGGAAGGAGCAAGGGAGGGAGGAAGGAAGAAAAGAATATTTAGAGATAAAATTCAGTTCATCGAGTTGGGCAGAGCTACTCTGGAGGCCGAGGCAGGAGGATCACTTGAGCCCAGGAGTTCGAGTTCAGCCTGGGCAACATAGACAGACTCCATCTAAAGAAGACGGGAAGGGAAGGGAAGGGAAGGGAAGGGAAGGGCAGGGCATATAAGTTTAAAAACTCAGTTCCTTTGCCAATCAGTGCTTCTTTCGACCTTAAATGATTCTTCCCATCAGAGGTTTGGCCACAGCTCCCTGAGAGCTGGTCTCTGCCACTGCAGGGTTTCCGGTGTTCAAAATCTGTTTTCTGCCGTGAACTGGTTGTCACCACGTCCCCAACCTCTCCTCCAGCCAGTCTCATTCTCTCTTCCCCACTAGGGAGGAGAGGGTGGGGCTACTCCCTTATCGGTCCCCACGAATATATACACGTAGGAGTAAGTTGCCTCCTGCCACCCCACCTGCCCTTGGCTAAGTGAATGCAGTGTCAGCCCAGATCATTCCAAAGCCATAAAGATGACATAAAAAAAAGTCGGGGAGTCGGTGGCGGGGAGGGGTGGAGGTGGAGGAGATTACAAAAAAGAGGACAAGCAGTGTGGCTTGCGCTCCTTATCTAACCCACAGCAGGCCTGGCTGGGGGCTTTCTCTCTCCAGGGGGAGGACGCTGTGCAGCCACATTGGCTGGCTGTCCCCCGCCTCCACATCACCCCGCTCCAGCCTAGTAGAAGGCTCCAGCCAACATCCCAGCTGTGTGCACTGGGGGACCAGAGTCAAGTGAGGGGTGAGGGCAGTCAGAAGGGCATCCACAGCTGAGCAGGGGACGGTGAGTTGAGGTCCCACCAAGCTGTCCCCGAGACGGGGGACTGGGGGACATAGGGACCTGCCTGTCCAGGAGACCCAAGGCACCAGCCAGAAAGGAAGAATGTCCCAGGATGCTGCAGGTCACACTTGGTCAACTTAGTTATTTTTATGAATATAGACTCGGGGAGCTGGGGGGCAGGGGTGGAGGAAGGGATGGATGGGTGATACTGGGAGGAACAAGCAGATGAGGGGTAGGACAGAGAAAGATGGTGAGAGAAGGAGAGAACACAGTCCAAACTACACTTTCTTGAAGCACCTGCTTCCCCACATTTAATCCTCACAAGGCCCCAGGGAGAAGCAGCAACATTATGCCCATTTTACAGACTGGTAAATCGACTTATTAGGACGCAGTAGGTAACTTCCCATTATGCTTCACTGATACTGGCATGAGCAGAGGGCAGAGAACAGAGAAGTCACCTAGAGATCCTCATCAGTCAGGGGCTTAGAGTAGACCTGTTTTTTGAAATCCTAATAGCACCTGTCTTCTCTTGTTGTTATAAGGATTACATGAGATAATAGAACCATTTTGGTTCATGACCAAGGGCCACACACACGTCTCTGGACGTTGTTGTGAAGGGGTTACTTTTCCTCTAGCCCTCTCTTAGTAAATTGACAGGGAGTGGAGGGACAGCTTCAGTGACCTTCAAATTTAGGGTTTGATTTTTTCTTCAAGGGCCTGGCCTAGGGGGCACTTGGAGCCGGCATGGTTGGGGAAATGGAGAAGAGACGCTTCTCTTAGCTGCTCATCAGATCAAGAGGTGGAAAAATACAAAGTCTACAGGGCCCTACAGGTCCATTCCCCAGATTCCCAATGCCCCTGTAGGGAAAAAGATCACAAAGCCTTAGAGGAACAGAAATGTGCTCAAGAATCAGTCCATTTTTCAAACAGATTAAGCCTAAAAACTGTGACTACAATAACAATAACAATACTAACACACACACGAATATGTCTATATCCATCTATAGAGATATTTACATATATATCACACACATATACATATGTATCTATATTTGTCCCTATAAATATATACACATACATATTAGAACCAAATCTACCTTGTTTATGCCATCAGTATAAACCACCAGCTTTGTGTAAGCTTGGCAAGTTACTTAAACACTCTGTACCTCAGTTTTCCCATCTGAAAAATGGGGATAACATCAGTAACCTCTTAAAGTAGATACGAAAATTAGTTAAACATTCCCTAGAATGCTGCCCGGCATATGGCAAATACTGCCTGGGCATGGGCATTATTCGTTTTCCCCAGCCAGGCCCAGAGTCTGGGGCCTGAGGGCACTTTGCTGTATGAGTAACTCAGGCTAAATGCAGAAGGTAATTTGCCAGCACTGGAAGAGGATTCAAATGCAGCTGTGGCCTCGTCTTTGGGGAAGGTGATGACCTTGAGTGGTAGGGGGGGTACTTCAATTTCACCAACCAGGTCTGGCCATCCTCCTATAGATGGGTGCAAAGGCCCAGGAGTCAGAGGGCCTCTAATCACAGTGTGGCCCTGGGTGGGTGTATCTTTTGAACCTCAGCTTCCCCATCTGTACAATGGGTCTGATTTCTGCCACCATGGAGGAGCAAGTGAAAGGCGCGTGTGTGCGCGCGCGTGTGTGTGCAAGCCCCTAAATTAAAAAAGAAAGAAAGGAGAAGAAGAAATAGATACAGAGATAGAGAGAGAGGGAGAGAGACAAATAATCAGAGGCAGAGAGAGAAAGCGAGGAAGAACCAGAGGTAAAGAAAAAATAGACACAGAGATAGAGACAGCAAGAGAAAGAAGACAGAGAGAGATGATCGGAGGAAGAGACAGAGAAGCCAGAGACAGAACAGATAAAGGAGGCTAATCAGAGACCCGAAGACAGAGGGGTGGACAGGCAGCCTCCAAGCCCCTCCGCCCTGCAGCTAGCTGGCGCCCCCGACAGCCCTTCTAGCCAGTAAGAGCCCCCCACCCCTCCCAGCCTGTGCACCCCCTTCTTCCCTCCCATCCGCCTACTCCCAGCGCCCCCTCTCCTAGCCTGCGCCCCCACGCCCTGCTCCAGGCTCCCCCATCCTGTTTGCGTCCGCCCCCTCTCCCCGGTGGCCTCCCTCCCCTCCAAGCCCTCCCCATCCCTCCAGTGCCCCCTTCCCTCCAGTCCCTGTTGCTTCCCTCCCCCCACCCCCCCAACCCCCCACCCCTCCACCCTTCCGAACACGGCAGGGTTTTCTGGCGCCTTTGTGGCCGGCCCCGAAGTGCGCGGCGACAATGGCGGGGTGACGGGGGTTAATTCGCGCGCGGAGGTAGGACGCGCGGGCGCCGGGCCGAACAATGCGGGCGGCGCGCCTTTGAGGGCGGCCATTGTGCGCTGTGTGAAACGCGAAATCTGTTCCTCTGCGCGCCCAGATGCGGGCGGCCGGCGGGGAGTGGGGGGCGAGCCGGGGCCGGGGGGCGCTGCGCGTTTGAATGGGCTTTAACCCCCTCCCGTCCTCTGCGTCCTTGAACTCGAGCTGGGGAAGGGGTGGGGGTGGGGTGGTGGGAGCTGGGGAGGAGGGGAGGGCAGGAGGTCAAGGTTCTCCTCCGCTTGCCCTGATGTGCTGTGTGACCTGGGCCAAGTGCCCGGACTTCTCTGAGCTCCACCTCCCCACCGGACAACCAGAGGGTGCACCCAGCGCCGGGCGCTCAAGCCTGTGGCCCAGGCCTGTAATCCCAACACTTTGGGAGGCCGAGGTGGGAGGATGGCTTGAGCCCAGGAGTTTGAGACCAGCCTGAGCAACATAGTGAGACCCCCTTCTCTACAACAAGAACAGCAGCAAAATCGCTTCTTGGCCTTTTGGCTAAGATCAAGTGAAGAACAGCAGAACAGCTGAGCATGGTGGCAAGCACCTGTAGTCCCCTACTTGGGAGGCTGAGGTAGGAGGGTTACTTTGAGCCCAGGAGTTCAAGACCAGCCTGGGAAACATAGTGAGATCCCTTCTCATATATTAAAAAAGAAAAACGAATGTATATGTATAATATGCATGTAGGTATGTGTGTGTGTATGTGTGTATATATGTGTGTGTATATATATGTATTTATATAAAATGCTTGCCGGGTACGGTGGCTCATACCTCGAATCCCAGCACTTTGGGAGGCCGAGGCAGGTGGATCACTTGAGGTCAGGAGTTCGAGACCAGCCTGGCCAACATGGTGAAACGCCGTCTCTACTAAAAAATACAAAAATTAGCCAGGCATGGTGGCACATGCCTGTAATCCCAGCTATTCGTGAGACTGAGGCAGGAGAATCGCTTGAACCCGGGAGGCGGAGGTTTCAGTGAGCCAAGATGGCACCATTGTACTCCAGCCTGGGCTACAGAGCAAGACTCCGTCTCCAAAAAAAAAAAAAAAAAAAAAGCTCAAAACCAGAGGACTGGAAGGGGTCTCACAGATGACACGGAGAGAAGCTGGCCTCAAGGTCACACAATGTCAGCCCTGGCAGCACAGTTCTGGTCTATGGGTTCTGGGGTGCCCAATGAGGCCAGGCTGGGACCCCTAACCTGTCCTTTCACATAGAGAGAAACACTCAGACAGGCTCCACCAAGGTTAGGCTGTGCGACCTTAGAAGAGAGTCAGTCCCCTACCTTCTCAGTTTCCTGCCTATGCAGTGGAGAACGTTACACTAGATACCTTAGGAGGCCATTGTGACCAGTAAATGGGTCAGCCATCTAGTGGGGTCTATGCATATAGGTAAACATGATGCATAATAATAACATTTACTGAGCCCTTACTATGTGCCAGAAACTATTCTAATCTTCTGATATATATTTTATGATATTCAAGCATTCGCTGAATGTTTATAATATATCAAACATTTATGGAACTCCATTATTTACTGGCTTTATCACTTAATCTCGTAATGCCTCTGTTTACACATCTATAAAATGGAGATGCATAGGGCACCATGAATTCCTTTCCTTCCCTTCCAGATGCCTCGATGCTGGGCTCTGGCAGGTGTGGCCCCTTTTCTCCCATCCACCCTTGTCCCTGGGAGTCCCTAGCAAGGTGATTCCCATTCATTCCCCTGTGATGCATTCCTCCTTGGAGAATTTCCCCAGGTGACATGACTCAGCCCAGGTTCCCTCCTCCTTTTCCTCTCTCAGGTACTGCTGACCAAACCCCTAATAACTGAGAAATGGGATCTTCCAAGGATAGGGTGAGAGGATCCCTTTTGAGGCACCTCATGCCTTGCGTCGGAGAGCATGTATATCTCTGCTGGTGTTTTTGCTCACATTCCCCCATGGTGTGTGAGATGGAGGTGATTCTTCTAGAATCGCAGCCAAAGAAATTGAAGCTCAGAGAAGCTAACTGGAAGATGCTTAACCTTATCTGGGGTTATGTTCCCCTTTAAGCATTATGTAAGCTCCAGACCCTCTCCCCAGAAAAATACTTGTCTACATTAAGAACGTTTTGTTTGCAGCCTCGGGGCTCCCATATTCCCCCCAGCTCCCCTGAAGCTGAAATTAGAACCTCGTTGGTAGCAGAAAGGATCCAAAGCTGGAATGCAGGCTCTGCCTTGCTGTGGGCTCTCAGTATACAGCAAATTTGTTGTTTTCCTTTAGCAAGCTTCTAAGTCAGGCTTTTTTTTTTTTTTTTTTGGGATGGAGTCTTACTCTGTTGGCCCCCAGGCTGGAGTGCAATGTTGTGATCTCAGCTCACTGCAACCTTCGCCTCCTGGGTTCAACTGATTCTCCTGCCTCAGCCTCCCAAGTAGCTGGGATTACTGGCACACTTTGCCACACCTGGCTGATTTCTTTTGCTATTTTTTTTTTTTTTCCCCAATAGAGACAGGGTTTCACCATGTTGGCCAGGCTGGTCTCGAACTCCTGGCCTCAAGTGATCCACCCACCTCGGCCTCCAAAAGCGCTGAGATTATAGGTGTGAGCCACCGCACCTGGCCCTAAGTCAGGCTCCTAAACATCCATGGCATTCAGAATCAGGGTGTTAAAAGTCAGATACCCAGCCCTCATACCAGGGTTTGATATTGGGCTGCTATGAAATCTGTCTGGGTCAGACATTTGTGTGTTTCATGTGCCACCGCATTGATGTTGATGCAGGTGGCCCATGGGGTGTGTTTTGAGAAACCCTCGTCCAGGATGTTCCCACTGGCTTCTTGTCCATCGTCCTCACTTCTGGCTTCTCCTTTTCCTCGCCCTGTTTTGACATCCTGCCATTAGTTCCTAGTCTAGTTTACATCTTCTGAAAACCCCCTTCCCAAAAAAAAGGCAAAGCCAAGTCTCTGGGCTCCCCGAACAGTGCTGTCTCTTCCAAGCAGAGAGTGAGTGGGGCTCTGGAAAGCCCTGAACTCTAGGAGCAAGGAAACAGCAGCGGCCAGCAGGTGCCTACAGGGCCCCACGTGCCGGGATGGGTACAGATGGAGGGGCTCTGGGCTGGGGGCAAGGGGCAGATGCAGCCACCCCTGGGGCCTCAGCCCTCTTGTTATCTCTTCATTGTCTCCTGTCTCCCCAGCCTACCCCCTCATCAGTTGCCCTTCTGTCATCTCCACAGGGTCCCCCTCGGCCAGCAGCCCAGACCTGGAACTCCAGAGGGAGCTTGTAAGAGGGTCCCCACAGGTTTCCCTGCTCTGGGGGTGAGCAGAAGGGTAGGGGCTGTGGGGTGGATGGGAAGGAGGGAGCCCGGGTGGAGAGGCCAGGGATGGTGGGGGGGTGTCAGAGTCTATAAATCACGCCCCACTGTGCTCCTGTTTAACATACACTTCTCCAACGAGTTGTCAGTGAAACCGTTAATTAATTAGCTAATCCTGCAATGAAGTGGATTCTAAATGGTTCTCCCCCTCGCAGCCTCCCATTTAGATAATTGCTGCTGAGGGATCTTTTGTGAGAGTCATTTTTTCCAACAGGGACGGGCCTGGAATACTGAGGGAGATGAATTTAAAGAAGGGGTCAGCGTACCGTCCCCAGAGCTCCTAGGACAGGGAGACTCTTTTCTTGGCCCAGGAAAAACGTAAAAGGGGGTGATTGGGGAAGGACAAGGGGTAGACAGGGGGTACTGAACTTTGGTGTTTGGTGGTTTGTTTTTGATTGAGATGCTTTGCAATTCTATGAAAGTATTCCTGGCCAGGGTCCTGAGACAGGTAACAATGTTGATGCTGCTGCTGATGATGCTGCTGCTGCTGCTGCTGATGATGATGATGATAGCCACCAGATAGGAAATGCTAACTATAGCCCAGGACCCAGGTACGTGCGTCATATTCATGATCTCATTCACCCTCTTCAAAACAACCAATAAGTAGGTGGAATTATGGACATTGGGAAAACTTAGATCCAAATGGGGGAGTGACTTGCCCAAGGTCAAAGAGGTGGCAGAACCTGGAATGAAACAAAAGTGTCTGAGCTGGGGTTCACACTTTTAAAAATTATGGGATTTTATGGGAATATCTACTCCTATGCCAGAAGGGACACTGAAGCCATTGGAAAGGAGTGTGGCCAGCTTGAATCACACAGGAAATGTAAGGACTATTTGATACATGAATGAATGGGTGAATGAATGAATGAATGAATGAATGAATGAAACCCAAACCTTGTGACTTGTGACTCAAGGTCCAATAACTTGGCTGATCCTCTGTTGATGCTGACTTGGTGTAATGAAGAAAGCACATGAACATGCCCGAGTGGGAACTAGTGACTTTTACCTGCCCAATATCCCTTCTCCTTTGTGGTGCCTGGTCCTCACCTGGTCTCAGTCCTTATGTTTTCAGTGAGGCTGACCCTACCCTGAAGCTCCAAGGGAGAGACATTGCCCAACCGTGGCCAATCAGAGTATATTTTCTACCACAAGCTCTGTCCCCAGGCATAATGGATTATCCAGGGATGGACATGTGATCCAAGCCAGGACAATGAGACAAGTCTAGACTTTTTGCTGGAACTATCAGAGAGAGAGAGAGAGAAAAAAAAAGAGTGTTCTCAATTCCTGGGATTGCTAAACTAATGTAATGTCAGTTTGCAGCTTCTGGTAGCCATTTTTGTTGTTATTGTTTGTTGTTGTTGTTCTATTTTATTTTAAAACAAAGATGGGGTCTCCCTATGTTACCCAGGCTGGTCTTGAACTTCTAGGCTCAAGTGATCCTCCAGCCTTGGCCTCCCGAAGTGCTGGGATTATAGTACTGGGTTCATACCCAGCCTGTGAGCCATTTTGCCACCAAGAATGGAGCCACAAAGAGTAACCACTATATCTAGCAACATTGAACCCCTGGATCCAGCTATGCCTGAAGCCTGCATATACCCAGAGTTGTTTTCCAGTTACATAAGTTTTAATTGGTGTGGCAGATGCTGCTGGTCACCTATCAGAATTCATTTTCCCTTTCCAATGCTATTGGCATTTCGTATAGCAATGCAGCTGTCTGAAACACTTGTTTGTACTTTTTGTACCTCTAAGGGGCCATGTGACCCAGTTCTGGTTAATGACTCCTTGGGAGAAATGTCATTCTCAAATAAAAAGACAAGACCCTAAAAGAAAGCTCTTCGCCCTTTTGCCTTTTTCCTGCCTGAATTACAAATGCAATGCCTATCTTTGGATTTCTTAATACTTACAAAAAATAAACACTTTGCTTATTTAAGCTACTGTATTTGCATTTCAAGGAAGTATAATTCTAACTGATAGAGTGGGGTTCCTGATTTTGCAACTGAAAAACTCCTGCCTGATATGCTTTCTCCAAGAGATGTAAGGAATGTGAAGGAAGAAACTGGTAGGATGAGAAGAAATTGCTTTGACTTCTCTATTTGCTCCAAGATGATCACCTACCTTGTTCACTCATCTCTATTACCTAGCAAAGATAGCAATCTGGAAGGACCATAAATTGTAGGTAGATGGAGAAGAAAATTGGCCTTTAGCAAGGACTGGCTCCAGGCAGTATTTCAAAGCAGGAAAGGTGGAAAGGCTGTGGAAGAAACATGTCATATCTCCATCTACACAGGTACAAGAACCTGCCATCTAAGCAACTCTCAGCACAACTTATTGGTCCTGTGTCATACTCTGTAAAGGACCCATCATCAACCAGATGTTGGCCACTTCATTAAATTGCTCAGTACCTCCATGATACTGAGGGCTCATGGGTCCAGGGGAACCAGGCCTCACTGCATTTAGGGAGACCTGGCCTGTGATGGAGCCACATGAAACTGCTGATCTTCAAACACTATTCCAGGGCCAGGTGCCAGAGCCTGGCTTTAATCCAGAGCTGGACTAGTCAGCCCCAGGAGAACCTGGGACAAAGCTGGTTGCACTGGGATCAAGTGTGAGGAAGGTAGACTGATTGGCTTCAGCTTCCTCAGAGATTCTGCAAGATTCTGCAAGAGACCTAGGCAGAGACCAGACGCAGATTCTGCAAGAGACCTAAGATTGAATCTTAGACTCTTGGAGCAAGAGAATTTTAAAAACTAGCTCAAGAGACATTTAGAACCATATTATTTTAGAAGACTCAACAATAACATCTAAAATTATAGAATTCAGCCAGGCATGGTGGCTCACCCCTGTAATCCCAGCACTCTGGGAGGCAAAGGCGGGCAGATCACGAGGTCAAGAGATAGAGACAATCCTGGCCATCATGGTGAAAACCCGTCTCTACTAAAAATACAAAAAATAGCTGGGCGTGGTGGCACATGCCTGTAGTCCCAGCTACTCGGGAGACTGAGGCAGGAGAATCGCTTGAACCAGGGAGGCAGAGGTTGCAGTGAACAGAGATCATGCCACTGCTTTCCATCCTGTGTGGCAGAGTGAGACTCCGTATCTAAAATATTAGACCAATAAACTCTAAAATTCTAGCTTTATAGGAAACTTAGAACCACAGAATTTTAGAACTAGAGAAAGCTTTAAAAATGAAACTCCTTTTAACCTTCAGTTTTAAAGAGAAAATTTTAAAACCTTAGTTTTAACTAGGTAATTTTGAACTACTAATTTAATTAAAACCTAAGTAAATCTTTAGAATTAAAAAATTCTAAAATAGTAAACTAATTAATTTTGTAAGTACTAGATATAGGGTGTCTCACGTCCTTGAAATTTCAGAATTATGTTAAGAACAGGGAACCACAGAATTTTAGAATATTAAACTAATAGAATGTTAGAATAAAATGTAGAGAGTGTGAGAATTACTGAATTTTAAAATCTTAGAATTACAGATTTTTAAAATCCTAAGATGTTAAAGCCAAGAGGACTCTAGAGCTCATTCTTTCTTTCTTCCAAAGGTAGCAGTTCCTTCTCCAACAATCTCAAAAGGGAATTGCCAACTGAAGGCATAACTACAACTAGGCTGGCACTGAATAGGTGTTAAATAAGCACAAGCAAATAAGAATTTTTTTATTGTAGAATCACTAGAAGGAAAAAAAAATACAATATATAATTTCCAAAGCAGTAAAAGGAACAGTGATCTCAATCAATTCAACAGAAAGCAGAGAAGGGAAAAGGGGAAGAGAAAATAAAAAGTACAGTAATCAGAAACACACACACATATACCACAGTATAATAAAGTGTAGTAATCAGAAAATAAGAAATAAAATGACAGAAATAATTATAACCACATAACTTACAATAAATGTAAATGGTCTAAATGTATCCATTAAAAGATTGAGATTCTCAAGTCAGATAAAATACAAAATTAGCTATATGTTGTTTAAAGAAATGACGGAACGTGTACAACTAAAGGGATTAAATGAAGTACAAGGCAAATACTAACAAAAACAAAGTTGGTGAAGCCATATTAATAACATACACAATGGAATTTAAGCAGAATGACATTAAAAAGAGTAAGTGTCCAGTGAATGTTTGGTGAATGAATGAATACTTATTGCCATCCAGAAATGGGAGCTCACTACCAACCTGAAGCAGCCTATTGTGTTGCTGTAGTAAATTCTATCATGCCCCCATCTTATTCTCCAGAACCTGTAAATACATGGCAAAAGGAATTTTGCAGATATAATTAAAGTTTCGCCCTTAAGAAAGGGAGATTATTCTGGATTACTCAGATGGTAGATATAATCTAATTATATGACAAATTAAGAGCAGAGAACTTTCTCTAGCTAGAGTCAGGGAGATGTGGCAAAAAAAGAAATCAAATTTGTCTCCACCTGCCTGAGCATGGTGAAGCATGAGAAAAATGCCATCTGCTTTTGCGGTGGAGGGGATGTGGGGAGCACATGGAAAGCATGGGAAGGAATGTGAGCAACCTCTAAGAGCAAATACAATCCCTCAGTGGACAGCCACCAAGGAAATGAGGACCTCACTCCTACAATGGCAAGGAACTGCATTTGTCCAACTACATTAATGGATTCCCCTCTAGAGCCTCCAGGAAGGAATGCAGCACTGATGACACCTTGATTCTGGCTTTTTGAAACCCTAAGCAGGGGACCTGCCAAGGTCATCTGAACTATGACCTACAGAACTATGAGAAAATCTATTTGTGTCATTTTACGCCGCTACGTTTATGGTAATTTGTTAGGCCAGCAAAAGAAAATGAATATAGTTGCTATCATCGTCAGGAAGTTTGGCTTGCTGGAACAAATCTACCTTCCAGCCATCACTATCTTTGAACCCACTTTTGCTCTCTTAGACTACCCATGATTCCCACTCACTCACCCACCCACTTGGAGATTTTTGAACATTTTAAGTCAATGATCACAGCCCTTTAGGACATTTCTCTCCTCCGAGCAATTTATAAGAATCAGTTTTCAAACAGTTCTCCAACCTGAAATGTGCTCCCATATGTACTCTCTGACCCTTGCCATCATAGGGCATTGCGTCCTAGCCAGTTCCTCAAGAACAGCTTCTCTGATGACTGTCCTCAGCTCAAACTTTTTCAGTGACTCCCTATGGCTCTCAGATGAAAGGCCTCCAGTTCTTTAGCTTGGCATTCAAGGCCTTGCCCCACCTGCTTTTCTGTCTTCAGTTTGCACTCCTCCAGCTGTCTCTCCAACAAGCTGATAGTTTTCATATACCTGCGCTTTTGCAAGTGATATTTATCCTGCCTGAAATGCCTTCCCCAGTGCCTTTCTTCTAAAGCAGTTGACATCCTATGTCTTGTTCAGAGCCTAGCTCAGATACCACCCGCCCCTTCGTCATTCCATCTAGGATGAGTCTGCTAGACTTGGTATCTGGGACACAGTAGGCATTCTAAATACTTGCTGAATGAATGGCAAACTCATCACTGCATCCTTTAGTTGTACGCTTTCCATGTTTGTCATGGTTTAGCAGGGCATTCTGCCCTGCATTTTTACTCTCATTTGCACTCTGGGATCCAGGCCCCTGGGCAAGCACTATCTGAAACATTGCTAGCAACTATGATAGAGGAAAAAGAGAATATTGCAAAATGTGTACTGTCTCTGAGGTCTTTTGCCTGGAAGTGAGCCATTGCTTCTGTTCACATTTCACTGGTTGAAGCAATGACCATTCTTGGGTTCAATGGGGCAGGAAAGTGCAACCCTACCATGCATGTCCTTGGACGAAGAGAAGGAATCAAATATTTATGAACAATCCTGATGACTACTCCACAGGTTTACTCTTCCCTCAGATTTTAGCTCAAGTATTGCCTTCCCAAAGAAACCGTCCCTGATCTCCTCGACCAAGTCAAACCCTCCTATTTTTGATGCGCATGGCATCGTGTTTCTCACCTCTGTGACACTTTGCCACAGCTAGAATTTCACATTTACTTGTATAATTGCTCGAGTAACTTCCCTCTCGAAACCATAAGCTCCATGATGGTAGGGATTACTACCTCCTCAGTCTATGGCTTGATGCCTGGACAGTGGCACCCAATAAATAGGAATGAATAAATAAGTGAACAAAGAATGAAAGACACCTCTCCATATCCCTTCTTATTCATCTGACATCATCTCTCCTACCTCATTCTATGGCTACTGTTTCTATTGTGCTGTCCTGTTAGAAAATCTTAGAGGGTACATTAGTGACATGGGAGAATTCTCTGCAGCCCCTCCTGGCTCACTGTTTTCTACACTTCCCTTGGAGATGTGCTAGACTGCACTAGGAGCCAGAAGCTGTGAATTTCAGCCAGATGAAATTGGGAAAGTCCTTCTCATCTCAGAGCCTCTGTTTCCACATCCACAAAATGAGAAGTAATCTCACTAGTTATAACTCCAAAAGCAATCCCAGCATAGCTATAGAAATGTAGATGATTTGTTTTCTTACTACCATTCCTTGGGCTGTGGCTACATGCTGGGTGTCATCCCCAAATCCAACATAGTAGGAGTGACTGGTAGCACCATTGTTCACATGAGGAATTGAGTTAAGAGGCTTGCGTAAGATCACACAGGTAGCAAGAGGCCCAGTCAGGACTCCAATGAGCTTGTTGACTCCAAAACTCCATCTTCTGCCACTAAACCCCAACAGTCTCTCTTTTGCTTCTTCAAGAAGCAGCACAATGAGTGGAAAAATGCAGGAACTTGATAGGCCATGTGTGAATCCTACTTCTTCTTGACTTCACTGTGTGACCTTGGGAAAGTGGCCTGACCTCC